GCTCTGAGGCTCAAGCCGGACTCTCATTTAGAGGAACATGAATAGGAAACGTTTTTTCTGCAGAACAGTGAGTGCTTTGGGCTTGGGGGCAGAAGGGCTATGTTAAATGTATTGAGCATAAAATGAAATGTTAATCACTTAAGTTTAATAAATCTGCAGCAGTGATCTGTTTGCACCTGGTAAGAGGCCTGTAGTTAGCACACTGCTATCTCGAATGCCTCTAGACTTTTTCTTGCATCTCTGTGTGTGTGTGTGTGGAAGCTGTGGAAACAAGGAGCAAATGGTCTTGCAGAGGAGAGGTGGCAGAAAACAAAGTGCTGGGGAAAGGTGGTCTTAAACAACAAGGGAGGGAGGAAATTTTAAATATTGCCAAAGTGTTTTGGGTAAATTTGGAGATTGGATTTAGTCACATCTATAGGTGTCCCTTAATTTAGTCCCCAAGATGCTTACGTTCTGCAGAAACGTCTTCTCAGATTTCATCGTTGAAGAGTTATTTATATGAGAAATTTCTAAAATGCTTTGTTGTAGAAAAAGTTATGTTCGCTAGCAGGAGACCTCTCATGTTTCACTTTCCCTCAAGAGCGATGGTTATGGTCTTTCTCACCTACTACATTGCATGTTGTGGCCTTAGAGGGCCAGAAAAGATGCCTGTCTGATCCCTCAGAAGGGCTCTCAGTAATGCTTCATTACCCCGTTACTCTCTTCCCTAGTCCACCCTCAGAAGCCCATCCTGCTGTGAAATTAAATTATGAAGGAAAGGGTCACGGTCTGGTATAATCGTTGTACCGGGCTCCCGAGATCTTTGCATAACCTTTCTCTGAAAAGGTGAGGGCTCTCTTGGCTTGGCATGATCTTTGCAAAGCATATAGAGCGATGTGTTCTCTGGGGGCTGAGATAGGTATTTGGTTGCTTTGCCATATGCTTAAATCTAGTTTCAAGTTTTTCATGGGATTTTTATTTTCCTCCGGTTGCTAGATGACTGTTCTTTAGCTTATAGCCTTTTTCATAGCTCTCTCATAATACCAATTTGATCTCCTTTTTTCCTTTGAATTTATCAGTTCATCCAATAACAGCTGTAGGTTTCTCTCTCTGTTCTCTCCTTCTCCAGTAAGTGTTTCTTTTCCCCCCCTAAGAGAATTTTTGTTCCTTTTGGTTGCACACTAAAATCCTTTGATCCTATGTGACAAACAGGAACACACGTTTCCTTTCTAGTCAAGATTAAAGATGCGCGGCTACTCGAGTGATTACATCTTGAGTAGAGAATGGGGAAGGCCCGTCTCATTGACTTTATCACCTTCCCTGGATAGTATGTCAGCTGAATTAGCTGTACAGAGCAATTTTCAGTGGTAACCTCGTGTAGCATCCCCTCCCATGGACTTCTGTTCTCAGATACACAAATCAGATGTTCTTTTTATTGCTGGCTATGTCTCCATTACGATTTTATGGCTCTGAGGTAGCATAGACCTATCTGAGACAGCTTTAAGCTGATCTGCCAGAGAGCTGACTTCCAGACGTGGTAGCGTGGAGCTTAGTGTTAGCTGGAAAATCAGCCCCAAAACTGGGGTCAATGGATTTATGGTCAGCTAAGGCTGACCTGAGGCAGCGACTGCAGTGGTAGTTCTCCAAATCTGAAAAACAAGGTAACAAACTTCTCTTCCTCAGTGGTATTTAGGGACCTAAAGCTATTTTAAGGGCCTAGAAGAGAAAAACATGCATGCACAGTTGGAGCGTTGAGATAAACATGCTTTAAAAAGGGGAAAGCAGAGGAGAGATTTGTAGATATTGGTCTTTCTCCTTCTCCCTTTCTCCCCAACAGAAGGGTTGATTTGTTGTTTATTCTTTAAAAAAAAATCTTCTAAACGAATCCATGTCTGGAAAATTGTAGCCTAAAATTGATTATTTTGGAACCGCTGAAAACTGAGTTAGGATGAAAATGCTTGTACGTTCTTGCTGCGTGAACGCTGTCCTCCTTGCTATTGCTGCGAGTGTTTTTATGGGCCTCCGTCAGTACCATTTCTTGGGATGTTTTGTGCTGTCCTGTGTCAAATTCTGTGCAGGAATATGATGATTATGCTTGGCTGAGGACACGGTTTGTTGGATAAGCTTGTCTTATGAGTACAAAATACATTTTCGGCGTTGTTATTATTCTGACCCCTGACAAAAATAGCCTAGACAAAGCATAAACTCTGGATCCAAAATTATACTTAAAAATTAGCTAGCCTGCTCACAAACCATTTCTTACCTCACCCGGCAGCTATTTATGAGAACATTTTGTATTGTTTCTAATTTTAAACAATTAATAACAAGCACTAGCAATTGAATACTCATTTATTAGATAGTTATCCCCTCAGGTTTTTCTGCACATCTTGTTGCTGTCAAATATCTTTGTACCCAGCCAAAAATGACACGTTAAAGCAAGCAGCGTGTATTTAATGGGATGCATAGAGAGAATGTGATTCTGAGCCGTCGCTTTTAATTTCTATTGGGAATATCATAAAACAGGGTAGCCGGACAAAGAAGTGAATTTTCTGGTGGCGAGGGTGGTGTTTTTTAAGTAAACTTCTTAATGCACAGCTTAGTCACAGGCTTTTTTCCTGCTTGTTATTGACGTAATTGCCTGCCAGACTCATCTGATAGTAGAATTGCTGGGGGCACGGTGTCTTGGATCGTGTGGCAAAACCTGCTAGCTATTGACTTCAGTGCATGTGTGCCTCTGCTCTCTGCTGAATTAAATGTCAGATACGCTCGAGTGTGTGGGTTGGAGGGGGGATATGCGATTCGGTTCTCTCAGGTTGCCTTGTCGAGGAGTGTACTAATCCAGCTAATGGAGATCCTCCGGCGCGGGAGGAGAAGGGCACTCGATTGACAGCTGCCTCCTGAACAGCCGAAAAGGAGAGCTTCATACCTCGGTGGAGCTCGCGTAGGTTTAGAGACGAAACTTTTCCAAAGGCAAGGAAAAATATAGTGCGTCTTTAAAGTGCTGCTTGTGATTTGCAGTCCCCCTTTTTGCCTGGGTTTGCAAAAGGTTTCTAAACCTGAAGGAAGGGGGTTTATACCCGTGGACTTTTTAACCTTTGAAGGCGCTGCCTTTAGATACTGATTTTATTCTGAGATGGTGGTAGAAGAAAAACTTGCTCTGCTTTTTTTTTCGCCTCTACTGAAACCCAAGTTTCTGTTACCACTATGGCATCGACACCACTGTGTCTAGTTTTTGCCGTGCTCCGTGTATATCTGTGGCGTTTCCTTATGTTACGCTCCTCCAGAAAATGTGGGCAGGGTTTTCTGAATTTAAGCAACAGAAGGCCACAAAAAATACAAGAAAAAAGAATCCAATTGAACAGCAGTGAACCCTGATCCTTGAAGTCGTCAAGTCAAATCTTGTATCAGAACCCACAGGAGGAAAAAAACAAACCAAAAAAAAAACCACTAAAAGGTTATTTTGCGTTAAGAGGAACGTTAGTTTTGTTAGTTGTCTTGTCGACATCTTCCTGAGCCCTGACGTGGGCTCCTGCAGGAGGAGCAGAGCATGGTCCATTGCAGGTGCAGATTTTGGGGAGAACTTTCTTTGGTTCAGTCTTTTGTTGAAGATAATGCTTGTGGGAAGCACAGGAACCTTTGATAGGATATATTTAGTCACAATAGTGGTTTTTGTTCACCTTGTTTTTTTTTTTTTAACCAGGTGAATAAATACTAATGTTGTGGATAGGCCCACTGTTTTATACTACTACTAAGTAATACTTCTCTGAAGCAGTTTGTTATCTTTAAGTTTCTGGGCGAGTTTGGTTCCAGCTTCTCTCCTCAGCCATTATAAACAGGTACTTTTATTATCCATTTTTGTGTTTTAAGAATCTGTGAAACAAAACTGCTTCAACTGATATGGTGTTATTATTACAAATAATTTATTAGATCGTGTGATGCAAATAAATAAAATAAATGAGATGCTGCAGTGACCTAGATATTCATTATTTATTCATGTGAATAAATACATTTCTTCAATTCTAAATGCTGCAAACTCTCAGTTACTCAGAAGCGGGAAAATCGCATTATTCCCACCATTTTGCAGATTAGAAAACTTTGGCAGAAGGAGCCACGTAACTGCTTTAGGCTATGTAACCTGTCGTTATTGAAACTAGGGTTAGAAGTTGGGACTCTTGACTCCCAGTGTGATGTTCAGATGTCTTGCTCGTGGCTGATAAAAGATAATACCAAGACCAATAGGAGGTACGTAGTGGTTAAGGACAGGATGATCACACAAAGTGATTTGGTCTTTTGATCATCTTGGGTACATGGAATGTTTTAAATATAGCCAAAAGCACAGAAGGAGGCAGAAAATGCTGACCTGCCCTGGAAAGCAGTGACTCTGGGAAAAGCCCTGGAGTCATAGAGTTTTGTGGAGTCATAAAAATATTCCAGTAGGAGTTTCTGGAGAGGAGGTCTAGCAAAAAGGAGGGGTGGGGGAGAAGGTAAAGTGGTATTTGACCTTGAAAATAGAAAAGTAATGAACAGATTTAGCAGGTAGAGCTTTTTCTGCCTGAGCTTTAGGATTAATATTTGTTGACATAACAGGAGCCGCAGAAATGGTCTAAGGACTACTGAGAAACCTACAAAAGCAAGCTGTCGGAAATATTTTCCTGCCCTCAGAGGATTCGACTGGTGATTGTTTCTAGCTTGATTTTTCTTTATTTGGGTGGTGCTGTTGATTGTTATTCTGCAGGAGAGTTTGGGCAGATGGTGTTTGCTAAGATCGGAGGGACGGTCACTCCACCACGTGCTTGTGGTTGTCCAAACGCTCTTGATGACTGAATTCTTAAGGGAGACTTGCTACCGCTCTGCTTTCTTCCTCCAGAAGTTTACTTTGGCAAGGCAATAAAAAAACACTGCCTCTTAATGCAGAATGGTCTTGGCAGGGACTTGCCCCGATGGTTAGGGAACAAGATCGTTGTATCGGGGCCTCATTTCTAACATTTACAGCATTCATCTCTTTGCTTTCAATCTTACAGGCAAGCTCTCGAGTTCCCTTTGAGAAGCAGCCGCCCTCCAGCGAGATGTCACGGCACCACAGCCGCTTTGAAAGAGATTATCGCGCCGGCTGGGACCGCCGGGAATGGAGTGCCAACGGCAATCACGTCAGCAGCGGTAGCTGCAGCAGTGCCGTTAGCAGCACCAGCAGCACCCGGCCTGGGCTGCTGCCCCTCCCCATCGTCCCTTCTCGGATGCCCACCCCAGCCACCGCGCCGTGCACCACCGTCAACAGCGAGGCCATCACAAGCCTGGTGGTCAACTCATCCGCGGCGGCCACTACCAAAGTAAGAATTTACCTTTTTTTTCGGTGATGACATGCCAAGGGGAGAGAAAGGCATCGATCCCTTTGGGAAAGCCGTGTTCACAATATATGAAAAGCAAATGTCCATGGACAGTCATCGATTTTCTGCTCTTTCAGGCGTGCGCGTACCCAAGTAGCTAGTTCTTCCTCTGAGACTGGAGTTGCCCTTGTACCTGAGCAGTCCAAGGCTGAGCAGCCCAAGGCTGAGCAGAGCAAACACTTTTCCCCCGTTAGCCCTGCCTACGTTTGGGCTTTCAGTTGTTTTCCGTGAAGCCTGTGGTGTCCTTCTGCTCTTCTCGCCCGTTGACCAAGTTCACAACAGGTTCACAACGGGTGGCAGTGGTTTTCATCCAGAGGGAGTAGAAAATGAGCAAAGGGTATGATTTGGGCTGAATGGCAGCTTTTCTTCTTTTTAGTTGGTACTTTCCTCTCAGGTTTTCAAAGCGTTATTCTTAGTGCAGTTTCGAGTGTAACGGCGGGACTGTTAAAACTAGGCTGTCTGGCTTGTACAGAAATGCGTACTAAGGAGGAAGAAAATGTTAAGCAGCAAAGAGCTGAAATCACTAGTAGACCACTGGGGTTTTTTGTTCTATGGTATAATCGGGGAGGGGAGGTGCATTTTTTTAAGTCTGCAAAGCGCAGGTTGTTATTCCAGCAGAAAGTTGGGGTTTTTGTACTGCATACGAATGCAGGTAGAACAGCTGGGGAACAGCAAACCCTGGCAAATTGTAAAGGTGACCACAGCATTAGCAAACTGAGCCAGAAGCACTGCTGGTTTTCTTTTTATGATATTTAACATTTTCTTTCAACTTGGTTTCATTTTAATAACTGCAAGCGCCAAATACAGCAGACGCAGACAGGGGGAAAGGAGACAATAAAGTTATTTAAAGTAAGCCAAGAGCAAGCTGAAATTTTACTGCAGTACCATTATTATATTGATTTTTTTTTTCACACTGTGAAAAAAAACAAGGTCAATGCTGCAGAAAGAAGCATTAGGCTGAAGTTTGCAGTGTGATTGGTTTTAAAAATTTTCCATGGTGCCTTCAAATTATTTTCATTTGAAAGAAGCCAGTCGGATCCTGATCAAAACATATTTAGCGTTCTCCAGATGTTAGCCACAGACAGATGCATTTCAGTCATGCTTTGTCTGGAGAAGATTGAGGCAAATTTGGAGCCAACTCCATCGTTTCATTTATCATGACCTTTGTTCCTGGGTCTACTCCTCAGGGACCAACTATTGTATGGAGTTGATCAGCCCTTCTCCCAGATGTTCAAAACCTTTTCGAAGCAGAGCAGTGCCATTAAACCATGTGTTTATTGGGGAAAGGAGGCAGGAACAGCGAGTTAAATGCCTTTTGATCATATGTTCAATGTGAATTGTTTTCTAAATTACCTTATTAGGCAATTTTCTGATGGCTTTCATTAGTAACAATGTTTTGGCATGGATAGATCAAAAGCAATAAATAGGCACGAATAGAGGTAGCATGGGACACTTTTTATTCAGAGAACTGTTAATCAGCTGTGTAATCTCCCATAAAGTTCATATGCAGAAATGCATACAGTCTTTGCCTACTGCTGAGATTCAGCTGAGCAGCTCTAAAAATTCAAAATTGTGTATGCTAAAGAAGCAAAAACTTCGAAAGAGAAGTGAGGTAGGATAAACAGAGATGTAAAGGTGTGGTGGTGCCTAGCAAGCTCCCAACTAATGATGTGGAACAGTGTCAGAAAAAATATCAGGTACTCATACATGCTCATGTTCACCCTGCCTGACTCTTGTCTCTCTCCCTTGCACACAGCAGATTTACACTTGTGGTTTAATTCAGATGGTTTGCAATTTCCCCGCCAGTGACTTTCCCTTGTAGAATGCAGCTAATGGTTAACCATAAAAAATTAAATCCATATAATGGGGAAATCTCAGGTCAGAAGAATATGCAATTACTTGGTTTATTTTAGAAACAGGAATATGCTAAGTTGCCTTGAGCTGTGGAGAGTTCACAGACTACCTTCTGCAGCCTTTTTGTGACCATAATTATGGGGTACCAGCTTGTGGGGGCAAGTATCACCTTAAGCTGAATTTCTCAGTACTGTTTTGTGGTTGAGAGCAAGATTTGATTCATTAGTCCCTCTTCCACAACACAGACCTTCCCCAACATTATGGCAGATGTCATTAATCTAAGTGTCAAGGGAGTGCGCCAAATAAGCGGTGACATGGTGTACAAATAAAGTAATCCTGGTGTTTTGGAGAAAAGTTTGAGAACCCCGTTCTCCTTGTCCAGTAGTCCCAGGTTAAGGGTGCATTCAGTGATGTTCCTGCAAACTGAAGATAGCAAGGTCCCCCATTAGATCATGTAACCAAAGTTCTTATCTAAGCAGATCTATTAGCCTCATCCAGTTATCATTTTTGACTTCAGCATATCTTCTTAAACAGATCTGACATGGCTCCAGACATGGAGGACAGCCATCCTTTTCCCTTGATTGTTGATTGTGTGTTCTCACCAATTAATTGTCCTCCCAGTTACAAATATGTTATCATTTTTTTCTAAATCATTTAGCCTGGCTTCAGACTTCCGGTCCTTGGTTGCTGTGGTTCTCTGCTGCCTGCCAGTTTTAGTAGCCTCCCAATAACTGTATATCTTTTGCAGTTCTCCAGGTCTTCATCTGCCTTTTTAAAAAATGCTAAAACCATACGCAGTCTTTCAGCATCAGCCTCACCATTTATATATGCAGAGATAAAACTGCTTCTTTTCTCTATTCCCTTGTCTAACAATTGCTTCAAAGTTTTTGCCAAAGTGCTAGAGGTATGCATGGCATTTCTCACTCAGATCCTTACGTTGCTTCCAGAGTAATTGCTTTCCTGGATACAGTCACCGGTGCTTTAGCGACGGCCTTTTTTCCTTTTCCTAGATGCATAACGTTGCTGTTCGTTACGTGAAAACTCATCATTTTGGACAAAAGCTCCGTTCTCCTTGCTTAGTGCTCCTTCTGACATTTCTAGTATCCACAAATGTTGCAGTGTTTTTAGTATTTAATTCCAAATCTTGATTGAAAAGTTGTCTAACATTTGCCTAGTATCAGTTACTGTCTCATGCGTTTAATCACTTCCTGCTATTTTTAGAAAAAATTGTCAGTTGACTAGCTCTTAATCTGCTGAACACCACTGTTGTAAAGTTCTTAATCCAAAACATTGTGCAGTGCTAAGTCAATGATTTGTAAAATTACCTCCCGTCGTCCACCGTTACGTATTATCAGACAAAGTTACAATCTTGTCAAAGACTGAAATCAAGTCTGTTGGACAAGATCTGCCTTCTGGCTATCCATATTGACTGTCATTGATCATATTTCTGTCCTTCAGCTCTTGAGTAACTGAATGCCAATGTGACAAATGCAAAATGGAGAAAAAAATTCCTTATGACATATAATGGGACTGTGAAACTTGTTATTTTAGTGATGGAATTGGTTAAGGAATTTACAGATAAATAGATTTAAGCACAACCAGACTAGCTCATCTGGCTGACCCATTCGGTCTTTACCAAACAAGATTATACAAGGCTCTACCTCAAGTTGTAATATATAATATGAACAGAAAAAAACACGGGAAAGGAGAGAAAAAATGATGATCTAATGAACTGTGGGAGAGAGGTGAAACACTCATCAGAGGGAAGCTTAACATAGATAATGCCACCTATGAGGGCTTTGGGCTTGGTCTGTGCTTTTATGTTTTTGGAGGAGGTTTTACACCTTTCTATGAAGGGCTTTAGAAGGATTTTATTACTAATTATTAATGTGGAGGAGAACTCTAGAACTAATTATGCTTTGCAGATCTTTGAAATTTATTCTCAAAGCATACCTGTAACCTTCTTACTGCAGATGCTTTTGTACAAATCACACTTAGTGGATCTGGCACATTTAAGTACTTAAAGATGTTTTGTCTGGGTTACTTAAGCAAAAAAGCTGTATTTTCCTTAGCTGTGTTTTTTACTAAACAAAATAACTACGGTACTTTGCAGTGCTGGAATCTATCGCATCTGAGGCTGTCAGAACACACCAGAAACATTATTTAAACCTCCAAAACCAATGAAAAACAGCTTAATGTTGCACTCCCAGGATACCAACAAGGAAACTGAGGCAGCAGGAGCTGGTGATTTTTGGGTTTTCTGCTCACACAGCGCTGCTGTGAGCAGAGACCCCAGGTCTTTTACTCAAGTTGGCTTTTCTTCCTTGATCCTCTACCCCTTTGGGACCACAGAGCAGTTCCCACAGGTATCTTAGTATCTTAGAACGAAAAGGTCAGAGTCCTTCGCTGTAGATAGTTCCTGAAGCACCTGAATGCCCATGGTAGTCAACAGGAGAGACAGAGACAGCAATTCCTGCCATTAAACTGCCGTGTTTCAGTTCAATTTGTCGTTCTCGGAGTCCAACCACGTATAATGGTTGAGCTCAGCTTTGGTTTTGTGTGTGTGTGGTGGATTTTTGTTTTTTTCTGCAACGAGATTATCTCTTGGTAGAAGGAAGCTATCAAAGAGATCCATATAAGACTGCAGCACTACTTAAGATATTGGCAACAAAACACTCTAAAATTCATTTAAGGATGCGGCACAACATTCCAGCTATGTTTTCTGTTCATCTCAGCAGCACCTTCATTCTTTGTTGCTTTTCTGAATTACTTTGTAAGTTACTTGTACAATTTTCTCCATCAAAGCTCCTGTATCACAGCTTCAATTTAGAAGTGTTGTCATGGGCTGTAATTTGAAATTTTATTACCAAGAGATTTTTTGGTTATAGAACATTTACTTTTATCATCTCTATATTATTTTTAAATGCCTGAAAAGATTGATACATCAACAGAATCTGTGCAACACCAGGCAAGATCTAATTTTTTTTTAGCCTTAATTTTAAAAACCCTTTGCTTGGAACATAAATTGATTCTTAAGCCCCCACACACTTAATGATTTGTTATTCTCAAGGTTAAACCTATGACAAATC